TAAAAAAATTAAAACTTATTTAATTGAAGTAGACGTGACTAGAAAAGGTACCTTACATTCTTATTTAGTTATCAAAAGAAAGCTCCCTGAAAGAGTGTTTAAAAATGAAAGCTTCCAGTCTTCGTATGGTACTTCAGTTCCTCACCAGGCGAAGGTACACAACCGGGTTGTTTTTATGACAGGAAGCCCTCCAGATGCGCTGAATGCTAATAACACTGCAGTTTCACACAGCAGTTCAGCAGCTCCATTTTGTCCACCGGTGTGAGCTCAGAGCCTAATAACGTGACCTTTTAAAAACTGTTTGTCTATCCGTGGCTGTCCTTCAACACGTACAGAGGAGTCCTGTCGCTAACATCACACAAATCAGACAGCGAGAGATGTTTTTTTTTTTTTTTTTAGCTATAACCTATAACGACTGAAAGAAGTGCTCTCTCTCTTCACTGTACTTCAAGGTCAGCCAAGGGCTCTTCGGTGCTTATGGTGCAATTCACAGACTTTTCCACACCTAGGTGATAAAAACGAATTCTCTTCACCCCCACACTGCCTCTTTCTATTGCTTTGATGCCAATGCAGCAATAGGAAGAAGAAGGCCTGAATATGCAAGTTCAAATAATAAAATCAAAGAACTGAGCATGCTATAATGTTTGCACTGCAGCACTTTCTTTATATATGTTTTAAATAAGTCAGTCAATTTGGATGCCATCAGTATACCAGTGTGTCTGATGATTCATGGGGTCTGCACAGTCCTCAAAGCAAAACAGGTTCTGAAATAGAACAGGCTAAGATAAGGTATAAATATTACAGTCAGTTTTACTAATAAAAAGGGAAGTATAACAGCTGCAGATGGCAAACTCTGTTACGTTTTCAACTCTGTCACTAGCTGCTTAAATGTCTATATATCCAGTGAGTTCCATTTCCGCTCCAGTTTTAACGCATGTGGGAAAGCGGAAAACTCTGGGAATCTGTTTGTACTGCCCTCTTGGTCCCTCTGTGTTGAAGCTGCTCATGCATAAGCTTGTAATCACCTTTACTAATTCAGTTAAGTATTGTGGAGGTGTGGATAAAGGTAAGCAAACATGTTGTTCTTATCCACGTCATGTTTTTTTTCCCCGCTGAATGTGAGACCGTTTGAGGCGTATGACCTCAGCGCTCAGTTTGTGCTGCAAACGGTGAGGCACAGAGGGACATTTGTGGACTGGTGAAGAAGATTGAGACCCTAATGCCCTATGACGCTAAGAGGGGATGCCATAGACCAAAAATTACCTTGAACATCCAGTAGAAATAATTAAAATTAGCCATTAATTTGAATAAAACAAAGCACATCACAAGTTTTGTATAAAACAAAACGTTCATGCATTGAGAAGAACTATGCAGATCAATGACTTGCAACTGCAAATCAAACACATTAGCATCACAATGCAACAGCTTGTTAAATAAATCTCAGCATTACATAGTACATGTGGTATGTATCAAGTTCGTGTGGTATGTGTGGTATATGATGGTCATTAATAGCTGCATTTCCATTACAAATGAGTGCAAAACTTTGTTGATATTCTGTTAATGTAAAAAAACCAGTTTTGCAATTGCTGTGTTTCCGCTAATTAAGTCACACGTGAATACGTTTGTTCTCGCGATAAGTCTTTACAAACATGGCAGCAATGGATGTAAACACATGCGTAATTGCTACCACGGAACTAGCGCTCATCATCAGAGGAGACGTTGGCGTCTTATCGAGGCTTTCGAGCGACAAGCCCCTTATACTTGGGAACGGCTACGTATGCTGTGTTTTTGGGAATTTGTAGTCGGTGAGTTTACTACTTTCTTTTACAACTTCGGTGATTTTACTACTACTTCTACTTCCTATTGTCTTCTTTGTCATCCTCTTTTTCGCCAGTAGAAACAGCCGGTTGTTGATCACGTGACTCGCGTGATGCGAAAAAAGTGTTTCCATTACAGTTTTGCGAAACCCACCAATTTCGATACGGCTGAAAAACCACCTCATCCTAGCGCAAAAACATTTTGTCGAAAAAAATGAGGTTTTTTCAAAACTGACATGTTTCCATTGAGCAAATTTATTTTCAAAATTCTAATTTGCGCTTTTTCATGGTCAATGGAAACGCAGCTAATGACACGTCTGCTCATGATTCCTTTTCAGGTTGACACACACCTTTTGACATTTACTCTAAACACTAAGCTGAGTGGGGTTTTTTTTCCGAGTTAATCCTAGACCCTGAAACATTGCTGTTGACTAAAGGTTGTGCTGTAATAAAGAAAGAAAAAAAAACACTTTTGTGTTTAAGCTCTCAAACGGAAAAAAACAGAAGCACATGACAGCAGTGTAAATATTTGAAAAACCTAAGTATTCAAACTTATGAAATCAGCTTTTGTATTTTTTAAAGAAACTTCATAGTACTGAAAATAAGACAGAAACTAGTATTTTTTTAAGGAACCCATCCACTTTGTAAGAGTTTCATTACAATTTGTTCCCTAGTTCGTGATATTTTACCAAATACAAGCAAATACATGTTTACATACTGCCACAGGCATTCACATTATTTTCCACCTTTTGTGGTGGTGGTGGTGTGTGTGTGTGTGTGTGTGTGTGTGTGTGTGTGTGTGTGTGT